TTTCCCCTCCTTTTCGCGGAAAAAGACTCCATAAGAACAGCAACCCTGCTGTTAAGTGGAGCAATGAAATCTCTTTATATCTTTTAATCTCTCTCTCTGGAAGCTCTTTATACTTGTTTCCTAGATGGTCTACTTTGGTCTTTTCCTTGTTATTTTAAGTTTTGAGGGTATCAAATTTATACAAATCTTTTATATTTTATTCTCATAAAATTCGAATTAATACAATGAGGATCCTAATGAAATTTAAAAGAAAAACCTACGGACTTTCTATTTGAGGAATTATTTGATGTGCTGTGATTGATTATAAGGCAATTTGTTTAGCCTCAACCATAGTTTAATTTATTGAATGCTACAATATCCTGTGCATAAATCACGATGTCAAAAAGACAAATTTGATATTAAAAATTCGAATTGCAAGTGTCAATAGCGTTATGAGTCATACGCAAAATGTACAAATTTAAGTGTTTATTCATTTCTGATTCCAGTCAACACTCAATATAACGAACTCGAAGGGACGGGGTAAACAATTTCGCTAAAAGGAAAATTCATTGTAGGGAATTCCTCACATTTCGCTGAAAAAAAGGTGCCTCTTCAAGGAAATGGCATTAATTGCCAAATGATGCAGTCGTCCATTCGTGAAAAGATGTGAAGGTCTGAGCGCATGTCGTATTGCAAAAATAAGCTTCGAAAATGCGTGTATGTACACGAATTGGCGTGCACAGAAGTGCGTTCTCGTGTTAGTGCAATAAAAATCGGACGAGTCCCAAACGCCGTCTATTCATCGGAAAGAGAGTCCCAAATGGTCGTCAGCCGCGCGCTTTCCTGGACGATTCTTCGATCCGTGGCTTGCAAAACTCTCGATGTTTTGACATTTTCAGGCTCGACACTCTACCTTTTGACCGAAAAATAGCCAAAGATAGTCAAAGGCTTCTACGAGTGCGTGGAAGGTGCTAAAATTAGATAGGAGATGAGCTTTTCTCGGGAATGCGAGAAAGAAAGTACCTCTGACGCGTGCAGCGGACTTGAACTTCGTGATACGGGACGGTTTTCTTCCTTCGGACGGAAAATCATTTCATAAAACCGAACATATCGCTATTCAGAACTTCGTTATAGAGAAATTTTCGACATGCGTGTGAATGGGCCACCGGCCGGGAAATGGTAAAAAAAATTCGTTGAAGAGAAAATTCGTTATATAGAAGTTCGTTATATCGGGCGTCGGCTGCATGATATTAAAAAGTAAACTTAAACTTTGTATAGCTTTCCTGCGTTTTCATCTCGGGTGGTTTTTTTCCGCTTATGCCAATTATGGGGTACTTTTTTTCTGGGTGGCTTTTTTTTTCCAAAGGATTTGAGACCCCTCTCCATCACATCTGTCCTGCTCAAACCACTGGAAAAATTGGTGGAAACCTACACTTGGAAAGACTGTGAAACGGGATTAGACCGCTATCAGTATGAAAAGGATCATCAACATCTTCGGCGATTCTAAGCTTGACTGACTTTGCTCTACGCTCAGTTGACAAACCCAAAGCGATTGTTCGCATGATGACTTTCGACTTCACTGCAGTGAACTTCACTTTCGACACACTGAACCGAGATCTAATTATTCAAGAAATGTTTAGACTGGGCGTCAGATACCAGAACCTCCAATGGATAGGAAATTTCCTTTAAGATTCGCTAGAACACTCAGAGATACGGGAAAGAACAGCGTCAGGTCGACATCACGACAGGCGTTCCACAAGGATCCACCGTAGGACCTCTCGCATTCATATGCTGCACAGATGCACTAAGAAGCACGAGTGACAGTGTTCTCTTTCTAAAATACGCTGATGATGATACGCACTCCATCTCGAATCTCAATGACCTAGCAAGACATAAGGAAGTTGTCCGTGCCGTTGGCACTTTGCCAAACAAAGAAGACTCCTGCTGAATGCTGCCAAAACACAAGATCTAATCATCGACTTCCGAAAATCATTTCCCGAACAGGACAACTTCACCCATCTTATGAAAATCGATGGCCAAGCAATCCAACGCAGCGCCAGCATCTCATACCTCGGGATCCAGTTCCAGGAAAACTTGAAATGGAACCAACAAGTACACAAGATGGTCTCCTCTCTCAAGAAGAGTAACCATGCCTTGAACTAACTCCTGAAATTAGCAGGTGCATCAAAAACACATCTAGTCAGAGCGTACCATAGCTTCTTTCGTCCACGTGCCGAGTACTCAAGCTTGGTATGGGGACCAGGCCTCTCGAAATCTCTCAGATCAGCTGGAGAAGGTTATTCGCGTGTCTCATCGCATCAGCCATGGATTCTCATGCGTGTGTAACGACTGGAAATCCTTATGTCAACGCCGCTGCAGACAACTCTAATATTTTGCCCACTCGAAAACATACAGTGGTGTGCCTAAGGCCAGAAAGGCATCGGAGGAGTACCATCCCAAGCGTGTAACGTATCCTTCGGGACAAACTGAAACGCCGCAAGATTATAGAAACTACTTCCAATTGAGCTCTCCCACTTGTTTACTCCTTTTTCCTTTGACAATTTCCTGACCATTGTCTTTTATTCTCTAGATTCTTTTATTCATATTTTCCTTGTTTTTATTTTTTGACTCCCAGGGCACTGGACACACCATAATTCGGCGGAGGAAAATAAACAACAACAATTATTATTATTATTTCTGGGTCTAGGAATATGTAGACGGATCAGTTTTTCATAAATCTCACAAACGACTATCCTCAACGAAAGAGAATAGGATACATGTGCATCACACCGACTATCAGTTTCTCGGACATCTTTCCTTTTCCTTTCAGTCCTTTAATTTCGAATTCTCATTCTTCCTCAATATAATTCTGAAGTAACTGCCTCTTTTGTCTCACGCAGTATAAATTGCGCCGCCTTTAGTCAAATTACGCAGACGGAACGGATGGACCGAGAACGGTTCTATAAAGGATCTATAAAGTAAAAGAGGTGGATAAGAGGTATTTCTCGGAAGGCAAGGAGATGCCTTGTGAGGCACAAAGAGAGCATCCATCGTCTCATGACGAAGGAGGTAAAACAGGTAATAAGGAATGGAGCTTTCCCTTTCTTATCTCCCCTAACACCAGAAACAAGAAGTTCCCGAAGAAGGAAATAAGATATGTTAAGTTGGGGGGATTTGACCATGGGTGAAATTCGGCCGGTCCAGTGTCCATTGGGCCGGTGCAGTGTGTCCATTGCCACCCCTGGGCATCCCATCCAGGATGGGATGCCCAGGGGTTCGACAAGACCTTTTCGTAAGTTTCATATTTATGCCCAAGGATTAAGCGTAGGGCACGCTTCTGCACCTGTTCGATGGCAAATACGGTTCGGCTGGGAAGGAAGCTGTTCCAGGAAGGGCAGATGTACTCAAAAACTGGAAGGATATGAGGACCAGACATATGGAGGTCTTCCTGAGGTGCGCCAAAAGATTTCAATATCTTTAGCATGGACATTCGTCGGGAGGCTTTGGAAATGATTGATTTAGTGTTTAGATCCCATCGAAGGTCGTCTCACCGTACTCACCGAGTCGGTGGGGGGCATTCAGTTTCCCACGCAAGAATTATTGCCTGAGCTGTAGCAAGAAGCGGAAAGGGCTTTGGTCAAGTATACGATCGTACTTGAATCACACGAGTTTCCAGTTGCCCGGAAGAGAGTTCGTGAGTTGGCTTTTCCATTTGCTAAGAAGCTTGCCTTTGACTTTTGCCGCTTCAATGCAGAAGGAAAAATTGGTTGATGGGATTGGCTGTACGGATTTAGAACTTACCATGAGGAAAAAATAAACACTGTTGGCCGTGCTCTGGGAACGAACAGGAAAATTTTGGCAGATTGCTTCAAATTGCTTAGGGAAACAACTGACAAATTGCAGATCGATATGAAACCGAGTAAGATTTTCGTTGCGGATGGGTCTGGTTTCCAGATGAACCCAAGACCAGATCATATCATAACTTTCCTCGTCTTTGATTCAGTTTCCAGTACATAAGGACTCTTACCGGAATCTGAACCCAGCGATGAAGGAAATACGAATTGATCCTCTCCGCCCGTTGCTTCACGACCGCTCGAGTTTTCTTTTTTTTTTAGGAATCTCTGCCCTGATAAAAATATTCCTAAACCATGCAAAACCATGAGCAATGGAATCGGTACTGCCGAGACTATTATAATGTGGGATCACTATTGGTTTGAATAAATGCCGGGATGCATCTATTCCACCATCACCGGCGTTTGTTTTTGTAGCTGATGTTGGTCATAAGTCTGCGAGACTTGCTTGCGTACTTGGTGCTCAAGATCGTTCCACATGTCCGTGATCGGGTTGAGGCGAGGGCACTGCGAAGTCCATGATGCGCAAACCGCGCACTGGTACTTCGTGCAGCAGGAGGGTGGGCATCGTCCTGCTGGAGGTACTCGCTGACAAAATCTCCATTATAACCCATTATAACGCTCTGTAATAATTGAACGGAAGAGGATTTCACGGAATGCAGTGGATTAGATGGCTCGACGTGTTATAGCAGTTACTTACATCATGGGTGGTCCTAAATCGCGTTAATTTGCCGATATTACGACGTTCCATTCCGCAAGGTGTCCGGATACTTTCGGCTGGACAGTGCGAAAACAATGTACTGTATTAATCGAATGATACCCATCAGTCGTTGAGGAGTTACCTATGGGCTTCCCAAGAAGTTCCCGTCGAATCGAAGCAAATTGCATTTAGGGACTTCATTAGGAAAATCGATTGCTTTAAATCCACACTGTTAGAAAAACTCCATTTGACAAGTACACGTTTGAAAGCCCATCCACTTGAAACCACCCACTCTTCCATTTTTACGGCCAGCGATTCGGGCAGAAGGTGAAATGAAATCAAGGTTGTCATCAATCGGGCTGCTGGACGGCAAATCAGATATTTCCGGATCAGCTGAATTGAGCGTCACAGTGGAAATTTGAGGATGAAACTCACAGTGATCTATTTGTTTCTCAATTTCTTGTTTGCAGGTGAATCATCTGGAGAATGAAGACGGGGAGCCGATCCAGGAAAGCGCCCTCTGTAACATGGACACGAAGGAACCCAATAATTCCTGGATGCTCCTATTTCTCTGCACGACCATCTTCTTCTTCGTCATCCCGATGAGCTTGATCCTCATCCTCTACGGGAGGATCGGGATCGTATTGCACCGGGCCTCCAAGCTCCGCCGCTGCACCAGTGCACCCAACGATCGCGGCCAGTGCGAGTCTCAACGGGCTCACATCCAGAGCCGACGGGCCGTCCTCCGGATGCTCGGTCAGGCCAAAACTTTCCTTTCTCGTCCTATTTAGCATTTATTTTTCCGAGTGGGATGGGCACTCGTTCCAAAGTTACTAGAATTCACACAGAAAGTCAGTGCTTCCATTCGAATACCACAATACCACAATTTCGGAGGACCGATTGTAATCAATATGCATCACAAGGACTTCTTTAGAAGAAAAGCCTTCTTACATCGACGGGCATAGGGTGAGGGTTACGAATGTCGGCACTGGGAGTAATTTCGGCACTTTGCGATCGTCAATCTGCTTTCACTACCGGTCCCCTAGGTACGGGGATATTCATACTACTATTCTCAGATGGTGGAACTAATGTTGTTGACATTTGCCTGGAACATCCCTATTTGCTGTTGTTTTCTGGCACCGAGATTCCCGACAGTGTGGTGCCGACTGCGCCAGCAAGCGTGCCGTGATTTCCAACATCCGACGCAACTTCACCTTTGACCCAGATCCTCGGAAAGGAAAGGCCCGGGGCACTCAAGGTGTAGGGTACAAGATAGAGGTATGATCCGACCCAACGTGAACGAGGAAGCTCCATTACAGAAATCACCAGGCAAGGTGAAAGGGAAAATTTTGCTTAGTGCCGACATTCCCAGCACGCACCCTAATCCTCTCTTTTTCCCTTTATTCTTCCCGGCGATAATAGCAAATAACGAACCATAAGAGAGTAAGAAATAGACAGCTTTCTGATGACGCACGACGTGATGTCATTGCGGAGTGGGATGAAAAGATTCTGAAGGGAGAAAAAAGGGATCATACCGGCTTGAAAGGGCAGAAGGAATGCGGAGCGTTCTTGGACAAGAAGGCTTCCTGGTTTGCAATTCATCACAAATTATCCGGAAATTTAGCATTCTGTAGCCGGCAGCTCGCATGAGACTACTCGGGAGAGGATGAGAGCTCGCGCTCTTGCCATCTCTCCATCCATCTCCATCAAATCTCTGAGTGGCAGAGACCACGCTGAGTTCGGTTGGGTTCCTGTTACGAAACGGTTCCATGCTTCCCTGTCCTGGGCAGCAGGCTCGAGCTCGGCAGGTGGGATCCCGAGCCTCGAGTGACAAGCTACACGAAGTAACCATGCCACCTTATACGAGGCCTACCGACCGGTCTTCTATCGGACGTAACTGAAAGACTTCCTTTGGGAATCTCGCCGGGGGGCTTCCGGTAGACGTGTCCAATCCACCGGACTTGGGATCTCTCGATCCGGATGCGCAGCTGCTCGATCCACAGGTTCTCACAGATAGCGGCGTTCTGCCTCCCATCACGGCGCGTGACTCTGACCATCCGACGCAAGAACCCCATCGAGGCTGCTTGCATCCGCGATCCGATTCGGTCATTACCCGAAGTTCACGGCCATGGACGATGATGTGGAGATAAACATTTTGAAAAACCGCCGTATCGCCGCCGGAAATTTTCGAATCGGTAACCACGTTCCGATATACAGTATACTTGAACCTCTACACTTGTGCAAGTGACCCCTCCCCTTCCTCCCCTGGGCGACATGTAGGGCACACTGCACGGGATTTCTCTTGAGAAGGTTTTATGAATTTCTTCAGAATTTTTTTTCCTTTCCCTAAGGAAAAAGTCCTAAAGGATTCCTATTTCGTTTCTCTGTAACCAACTGATACATTTCCTCTCTATTTTTTTGGGAGGGGGAAGTTTACAAAATTCATCATCCATAATTTCCTGTAGTTACATATTTAGGTTTAGCATTGTAATGCAGGTGGATCGTTTCCTTAAACTGAGTGCAAGCGCTAGTACTAATGGTAGTGTCCCGGTGAAGCCATTGGGACAGAAGTCAGCTTTCCTCCGGCAAAAAAGTCAAAACTAGTACCGATCCAGAAGCATAATGATTCATATATACCCTCCGTGGTTTCAGTGTCAACGTATGAAACCAGAATGCATAGTTTGCGGTGAACTGCTGGCCAATGCATCCATGAAGCCTTCAAAATTGAAGCGGCATTTATATCGAAATCACTCAACATTGCAATGAATTCGGCTGGTTCATCCTTCTAAGGAAGCTCGAAGAGGTAAGGAAACCCGAAAGGAATAATGAAGGAATCATCTGTGCCCAGAGCAATATATTGAAGGCGTCATTTTCATATCTAAAAAAATTCCTCTTTTGTTGCGCGTCACATGGTTGCGTTATTTTTGGATGCTTCTAAATGTGTGGGTCGCATGAATATGGGAAGAGGGTTCGATGGGTAGCAACAAAGAAAAAGTTGAGAATCACTGCAATAGAATCCTATTGAAAAGTTTAGAATTCCTAAAGAAAATTTTCGTAAGGGTTTACATTTTTGGAGGCAGTTCAGTCGGTACCCAAAATTTAATTGTTCGGTGGAACGTTGAAATCCTCACGGACCGAGTTCCAAGGCTTCCGACCGAGTTCCAACGGTGCTTGTTGAACATATCAATACCTTTAAGAATGTTATGAGTCTAAAATGCTCTAGCTCAACCAAACCTAGAGGCTGGAAGTACGGAATCCATCCACTCCAAATGCTGGATTGCATTCAGTTCATCGGCGAAATAAGGAAAAAATAAGACAATACCTTGTCATGGAACCTCATGTACCTGCAATATACGTTTTCTCTTTGGAGATGCATTTGTTAGAGAAAAGATCCGGAAGGCGAGGACACGTTTCGGAGACAGTCTTTGTGAGAGCAGGAGACTTTCTCTGTAAATTTCCTGCTTCGTCGAGTCTGCCGGAGGCAACGCTCTCTCGTCAGTGAAGGAGGAAAAAAGAGAGAAGAATATGGGGAGGAGATAGACCACTCTCTGCCGATTTTCCTGATCAATACATATTCACAGCCTCTTCCCCTCGAAGAGTGCCACATGGCGTATCGATGTGCGAATGGAGACGTTGCGTTTTTTCTCGAATGCTTTCCCCTTTCCCCCTTCTATTATTAGTGTCCGACGAATAGGCTTTGTTAGTGTCAATTCCCTTTCTTCAACCCCTTCCCGTTACAAAATTCAACCTCCTCGTATTCCTCTCTCAGAGCATCAACAGGAACGAAATTTTGCATTCTTCCTCCCCTCTGAACGCAGAATCGCTCCAGAAAAGTTGATTCTCTATCTCCTAATGGTTGTGGAGAACACTAAATTTCGATTTTTGAAGATGTGAATTTCATTCCGGTAATTTTCTCCTCCCCCCTCGTGGGTAGCCACTCCAGGGGGTTCAGAGGAGATAACGCCACCAAAAGGAAGATATTGTCTTGTGGATCACAATAAGTATCATTTGTGTTGTTCGCAACGCACCATTTCGCTATGAAAAATGAAATTAGCTGTCGTTCATTTAGGTTTAGCGTGCGGGCCCGAGTCCCGTCCCCCACGGTTGCTAGATATCGTGCTGGAGTTATGATACATTTTTGCGTGGGTTCATGGGATGAGGTAAGCTTGAAACTGTGCTTATCAGTGGCCGATGTATGTGGTGGGATATGGACATACCGAGCATGAAGATCATTGCTGATGATGGCGTTCAGCATGCACATGAGCGAATTTAGGAGGAATTCCCTCCACAGGCCTCGTCGAGAAGGTTCGAAGAACGAATGCAGGACAAAATGACACCGGCATTTTACTGACAGATAAAAGAGGGCATCTTTTTATGAGGTAGCATGAGAACCATTCTTGAAAGGCTTTCCCCTATCTTCAACCCCTTCCCCTCTTCTCTACGGGACACACTAACGTAAGGATTGCGCCTAATCCATGAACTGTCTTCAGGTCAGGCCTAAGCCTAGCTATTTTCGTTCGAAAGAATTTCAACTCTCCTTTTACCGGACCTACTAGGCCCATTCGAGACATCTCTCTGAGGAAGAGCAACGTTAGCCAGATTATAGGCCTGTTTGGAGTTTCGTGAACTCTTTCGGTGAGGACGTGTGACGTTAGGCCTATCTAGAGCAGCGGTTCCCAAGCTGTGGGTCGCGTACATTTTCCCAGTATAACAAATCACTTCATCCGCATCCGCTCAGGATAGCACATGCCTTGCAGAAAAGGTCGATCAGTTTTCTTCACGTCATAATTAGTTTGAAAATACCTCGTACTGGATTCCGGTGGGTCGCGAAATTTTTTTTACGCCTGCTAGTGGGTCGCGATTCAAAGAAATCTGGGAAGTGCTGATCTAGAGTTCTTCGGAATCCAGAATACCGCTACGAATGAAGCAACCCATGTTACTTTTCTCTCCTGCTCATCGATCTGATTCGGAATGCATGAGACCCAGGGCAATAAATATGTTTTCCTGCAATGCAGTTGCCGTGGTGATAGCGTTCTTCGTGTGCTGGGCTCCCTTCCATGCTCAACGTCTCATGTTCTGCTACGTGACCCTCTTCCATCGCTGGACGGACACCCTTCTCAAGGTCAACGAATACCTCTTCTCCATCGCAGGTAATCACATTTGTGGTTCGTCAGAAAGGAAAGAGATACGGGAGGCTTCTGGGTGAGGGCTTAGGGTGCAGTGGGGTGTGAAATCATTTTACAACGAGAAACGAGAAAGGATTGCCTGGAAATACGCTCGGTGACAAAAATGCAGCCACGGGTATTCCATGCATTATATCTTATTCTCAAGAGGATAGGAAAGATTCCCAAATCTTTCCTTCGGGTATCCAGCACATTGAATAATAATGTTTAAAAGAGAAAAAGTGAAGCTACGAGGGTGGTTCAAGTCATTCGTGAACTTAATTTTTTTGAACATTTATTTGCAATGCAATAACTTTCAAACTCTAGCTACTTCTCGACATAATTACCTCTACAGCACAGCATTTTTCTCAACGGTGCACTAGTGGTTGAATGCCCTTAGCATAGAAAGACCTGTCTCGCTGTTTGAACCATTTATTTTAGGACGCGCTCTTTCACAGCTTTGTCAGATCCAAATCGTTATCTTTCCTGTGCTCCTTCAGGGGCCCAAACAGATGGAAATCGCTCGGAGCTTAATCGAGGTTGTGTGAGAGACTCCTTGTCGAAGCTGACCAGTTTTGCTGTGGTTTCATGGGCCGTGTTTTCTCGAGCGATCTCTTGCAGAAAGAGCACTCCAAGAGAGAGCAAACCGGGCCGTTTTTTGCGAATGGCTGCCGATACAGCTTGCTGGACGTTGCAGTAGCAGGTAATGTTGATGGTAGAGTCTTTGGGCAAAAAGTCCACATAAATAACCCCGGAGTGTCCCAGAATACCGAAGCCATGATCTTGCCATGCCCAAGGTCGTCCAGCACACTTTTTCGCCCAGCTTTAAAACGTGAACACAGCCGATCTTTTGAGTGTTTCTTCGCCAAACTGTGCTCTAATTCGCTTGTGAATCTCACTTGGTTTGATGCCTTCCTTAGCCAAAAATATTATCACAATTCTCTGTTCAAGAACCGAGTCAAATTACTTCTCCGCCATTTTGCCTATCAGACAACGCACGATGTCCACAACAATTTTTATCGCGGAACTTTGTTTCACTGAGGGAGGCAAAAAAGAAACGAGTGGAGCGGAGTTGGAGCGGAGATTGAAAGGGGTGTAATTCTGATCGGGCCTGTACTTGGACACTTTTCATAACTCTAACAAACAATAAGGTGCGGGAATTGAAGAAGAATATCCATTACTTAAGATATATGAAATACGTGAGGAGTCTAAAGAAAACGACAGACACAAATTACTATTGAGAATGAATAAGATTAGCGCATTTCAAATGGATACGGAGTCTCATCAGTTAGATGATTGCGTTTGATTTCAGGCGTGCTGTATTACGTGAACGCAACCATCAACCCAATCCTGTACAACGTGATGTCGCACCGATTCCGAGTGGCGTTCCGGGTGACCCTGTGCCAGCGTTCTGCTTCCTCCCTGATTCCCTGTTGTGCGAGGGGGAACGGGGATAATAGTCAGGGTTCCATAGAAGAACCCGGCTCGAATGTCCCGCCTTGGCCGGCCCTCCCCTTGCCTCAAGGAAGCACATCGCGATCATCGGCCGAGAATCAGAGGCGGGTCGCAGATGGGGGACTCTCTTGCTTTCGTCGCCGTTCCAAGGCTACAAAGCCCAAGGCTCGGTACGTGTTCGGGCGAGCCAGCAATAATCCTGCTGGCGTCACCATGAGACTCACCACCATGCAGACAGTGACGAAACAGCGCAATACCTCTGCTCCTCGGATCGTCCAGGATCCCCGTGCTCCTCGACTAGTTCAGGATCCTCTTGCTCTTCGACTCGTTCGGGGTCCCTCTTCTCTTCGTCGGATGGAGGATGAAGGAAAATGGAATCTGAATGGAATTCGAAGTCGCGATGCTTTACACGTCACGGATGCACCCATTCCTGCCCTCACCTACTATTGAATTCAGAACGTTGTGAATAAGACTCCATCCAAAGGTTGTGTTTTCTCTTTCCTGCCGTCACAGTTTCTATGTTAGATTGAAGATGTGAATCGGGACTTGAAGGCGAGGTAAACCCCTTCGTGTTCTTTCCGAGCACATCGCAGAGGTACCTCCCTCAGGTGCACATGTTTTCCAATATGTGCAAATGTGAGACGTGCGCTTGTTCTCCCCATGGCTAAGTACGCTGTAAAAAGAAAAAGCAAAAGTCGGCTTCCAGGAACACCTGAGAGCATAGGCAGCGATTTGTTGAGAGATATGGGGGGGGGGGGCTCAGAGACAGTACTCCCTTACAAGTATTCCTTATTCTCATGTCCTCGCTGTCCTCACCGTGAGCCCGTTCCGCGGAATTTTTGGGGGCTCGAGCCCCCTCAGCCCCTATGAATCGCTGCCTATGCCTGAAAGCGCATCAAAGAATGTCTGAGAACACCTCACGCATACAAAAAGGCCTCCGTATGCGTTTTCAAAGTGCTTTGAGGTGTTTCTGCTGGAAATTTTTATTCATTTATAGTATAGTAAAAGCAAACATTAAATCGATGCGTCCGCTGATGAGGATCATTGATCGGCGATCGTACCAAGTCGATGATTGCTTTTGTCACAGCTGTCAGAGGGCTCTCCGATCAGAGCCTGGCTTCGAAGTCACTTTCCCGAAACTTGAGGAGACGTTACCAATTGAACACAGTTGCATATGAAAGGGTTTGATCCACGATACCCTCGACATTTCATCTAGGCAAGCTTCGCCCTTTTGCAGAAAATTATTGCATACATGTGAAAACAGATTAATTCAGCCATGGGGAGAATCACTATTCACGGATTTACATTTTCTGTTGTCTCTAAAAGTGGTCCACTGTTACCAAAAGTCAACAGAACAGGACGAAGCGTGCACAAGCAACCAAGGAGTGCGTTCAACAAATGAATGGGCTTGAACTCTTTCTCTCGAATTTGTAGGCGAAAAGCCTAAAATATTGCGGAGTGACGCTCATAAAAGAAAATCGGTGGAAAGATCTGTCCAAAAACGTCGTATTTTGTCGAGAGAAAACAAAAGTTTTTCATGTGGAATAACCAAGCGAAATAAACGGTACCCTGTTCAGTGATGAGACAGGAGTTGTTTCATTCTCATCGGAGTGAGGGGGGATGGGAGGGGCAGGAGCCGAGGGAGATGGGAAAGTCACTTCATATTTTCGCCTTTCGAGTGCCTCGAGTACTCATGGAGGAACCTCTGCACGCTTTACGGTCTCGTCAAAGACGCCCATGGGGTGATGAAGCTTAAAAGAACCTAGATCCTCAAGAGTTGCCGGTGCCGAAAGGGCATTTTTCTTATGCCAGGGAAATACTAGTAAAAGCGCTATAAAAGGCCGTGAATGTGCCCTCATTCTCTCTTGAGCTATCGCGTAGGTCAAGCAGCGGCTTATCTGCTACGAACTACTGGTATCGAATATCACAATGAGCCGAAACATGGCTTCTCCTGTCAATCCCTCCTATTCTCTCGGTGCCGGAGACTTTTACGCTCTTACTGCAACTTAGCACAATTTCTTTTCGCCACGTGGATAATCTCACAACCGCTCTTCTTTCTACCAGCTGTTTATTTAGTTATTTTTTACGCTAGGGGAGAAACGAACAAAACATCTGAAAATCATGCATTATTTTCAACTATGCAAAATACTTAGAGAAACATAAGATATCCTGATCCTTCCATCACTATCAACATGATTCCGAAAATAAGATATTCGGAGGGAGGTTGTTGACTGGTAACAGAACGTAGGCAGGCAGGGCTAATAATATTTTAATTTACGTTGAGGCACAGATTCTTGTTCATGTTACAACACAGAAACCTATTTTTGTCATGCAAAAGGCAGGGCGATCTTGGGAGAAAATTTTATTTTTACATTTGATGAGTAATTATTTGTTTTGCACTCATGGAAAAAGAAATTAACTGAAACGAAATGATCACATTCCACTTTTCCTCGCAGCACCTTGAAAAAAAAAACTTCTCGTGGAAATAGGACCTTGAGTCTGGTGGCTACTTCTATATATAGCTGGGGGGGGAAACAGCTAAAAGCAGGATGCAATGGGCAAGACGCACAAACACCGAAGAAAACCGTATAGGAAGTGACTAAGACCCAATTGCCTTAGAACCTCCTATGCACTCTTGAAAGGAAATTACGCCTCATTGCACTTGTTCTTCTTTGCTCAAGGTAAGAACAATGAATAATTCCCGTTATATCGGAAAAATCAAGAGAGAGGTTCATGAGGTCACTCTTCTCTTTTCTTCCTCCGTGTCCGAATTGATATCACAGGATTTCCTCTCAGGGTGAAATCAATCCCAGTCAATCAATCTATATTTCATGAAGCATTCGTGCCTCTCGATAATCCTCTCGGAGCTAGGACCTACAGGGTATGTCCGGAAAGTAATGCAATTTTTTTTGGGCGGGTAGTAAAAATGGCCGCACAGCGTTCCGGCCGGTTGGATTAGGTGGGGGGGGGGGCTTTCAGCTTTAAAGCGATACCTGCACCAGTCTGCTCCGAGCAGTTGGAGCTCCAGGATCGCTGTTCCCGTGCATCCCTTTTTTTTTGGGGGGGGGGGGAATTGTTGTAGAGAATGTGGTAGTTGGGGGGGGGGGAATTGTTGTAGAGAATGTGGTAGTTGGGGGGGGGGTTAGAACTTTTTTACCTTAGTTTTTCAATATTAGGGTGATTCCCTAATTACCATGATGTAGTGATGTGAAAACCATTTTTGAAAGGCTTTCTCTTTCTTCAACTCCAACCCCAACTTCAACCACAACCTCACCTCCTTCGCCCCTTTTTTTCTCAAAAACATTTTTTCGCTCAAAAGAAGCTCAATCCGCGACCTACTGGACCAATTAGGCCTATAAAGATTAATCCCTGGTCTTCGAGACATCCCGTCCAGGACGTGTAACATTAGGCCAATCTCAGGCCTTTTCAATCTCTCATACTCTCATCTCACTCAATCTCTACACTCAATCTCTCATCTCATTAGGAGAGTACGTGTAACGTTAGATCGATTAGAGGTCTACTTCGAGTTTCACGAACCATTTCAGTGCGGATGAGGAACGTTCGAGCTGTCTGGACGAGTTCTGAGAAGAAAATGTCTCTAGGAAGCATGGAATACAACGTGGGCGCCATCCTGTTAATTAAGGGTTGTCCGAATGAGATATCTCCACATCCCACTAAATCGATCGGCCACTGCTAGCCACCATTTCAATCTCAGCTCATCTAATGAACTCGGCACAAAATTATCTCATACATTCAAAAAGAGAAGATCCAGACACCGATACTAAGGCCGAGGAAGTCATGCATCTGGCATAACTCCGGCACGACATCCGGCAACACTGGAGGACGGGACCGGAGCCATCACGTTAAGCCTAAAAGAACGACAGCTAATTTAATTTTTTAAATAGAGAAATGGTGCGCTGGAAGCAACAAAAAAGACACTTTTCGTCACCTACACGTCACTATGTATCTTTCGTTTTCACTTTCCTCCGATAAGTCACCAGGAGTGGCTACCCGGGGGGGGGGGGGGGAATACCGAAATGAAATTCACTTATTCAAAAAGCGAAATTCAGTAATCTCCACAACCTCGAGGAGATGGAGTTTCAAATTTACTGAAGCGATTCTGTGTTGAGGGAAAGAAACATGTCAAATATAGTTCCTGTTGATGCTCTCAGAGAGGAATACGAGACGGTTGAATTTTGTCGCGGGAAGGGGTTGAAGAAAGGTAATAATTTTTTTAGGTAGGTTAATTTTTTGGGGGAAAAACAATTCCGAGATGATCGAGCATAATTTTGGTCGTTTTGAAGAGAAGTGACCGAAAGAGCATGGCTCATCACGTCATTTACACCAGTGAAGTTTCTAGATTTCTAACATTTCCTTTTTAGTTGGGCATTTCACTTGCGTTCACTGAAACACACCAATGAACGGGAACCTGATACACATTCCACAACGTTCTCTGTCCAATTTTCACATCTTATGATTTAAAGAACACTCTTGCTCCTTTTCTTGCTCCTTCTCTTGAAATTGATGAAGCTGACTGGATAGAGTATCAGTATGAAATTGCCATCCACCACGAAGAACGTGAGTCTATCGCAGGTAACCCTTCCGACATGGCATGCCATTCTTATTTTTGGACTAACCTCACTTTGGTCAGTGGAGTCTAAAACGAATCTGGCCGGATACGGGTGTACTTAGCTTGGATGTTGCCAAAGAAAAACTCCATGGGTATAACGAATGAGAACCTCGCAAGATTTCCGGTCCGTTCCGTGCAGTTCCTAGCAACGCTTTATGGACAAATATTTTCTACTTTCTTGTTTTATCTCCTGTATGCTTGTGCAGTTTCAATAGGGGAGAATCTGCCCTCACTTCATATCATCCGGTTACAATAGGAAGGAATGAATGTTGGAAAACCTTTGAAAGACAAGCCTGCCTCAAACAAACAACCCTACGCGAGTCACAATTCGCTCTGAGAGCACCAACAAGGGAGCAAACAATAGAACCGGACTGCTCGGTAAAAGGATTAGCATGGTTTAAAAAAAAAACTCAATCTCAATATGGACAAAAGAGAAAAGAAGTACAGAGAGAGACTATGTGAAAAGAAGAGAGTTTTTGTTAAAAATTCAAGTATTTTGGCGCTTAAATTCATTTTATAATTAACTCCAATCCGAGATATAGGAAATATCAAGAGAATCCGTCGATTTGATTTCCATGCATTCAGTGCAATGTCCGCTCAACTTTCTGTGGAGAAATGGGCTTAAGATCTTTCCAGCTCATTGGTAAATCCAACATGATCCAACCATTTTGATGACTTTTCATATAGTAAACTGCATTGACCTCGGTTAACGTCGAATAAGATACGTGGTATAATTTAAAAATTTACAGATGGATTGTATCAGGAATCGCCAAGGGGTAATTCCGAGCAAGCAATCCGGTGAAGCCGAACGTTCCGT